AAAGAGTGTTCATCTCACTACTTGTGCTTTTGAATGTTATTGATTCATATGTGCCCTATTACATTTCTAATATGAAACTAGTACATTTTAAATTTCTTTCTAGCGTAGCAGAACAATGTGGTAAGCATTCTCAAACCAAGAAACACTATTTATGTTTTCCCGTAAATACATATGTAGGTCATTCTTGAACAATAAAGAATTGTATGGAAAGAGAATAGAAAAGTAAAATGTCTAGTTCAGAATACAGACTGATATTTTCCTCTCTTCTCAAATTATCATCAAGACTATTCATTCAGGATTTTGCTATCTTTCTAGAATATTAGTGGTAAGTTAAAGAAAAAGTTTGAGGATGACTAAATAACAAAAATACCAAATAGTTTCAACAAAGAAAGAAAATTAATTCAGTGCGGTTTGGGTTTTTTGCATTTCTATATTAGCAGGAGGATTGATTTGTAATCAGAAAAAGTAAGAGTGTTGTTTGGTTAAAAAGAAAATCTCTCACGCTTTGAGAGATATCGGAGTGGTTTCTGCTCTTTATTCACAACTGTTTCTTCCCTCTTCGCTAGAACAGAGATGCAAGTTAATATATGCTAGTTAAAATTTATGCCAGTGTCATTTCATATATTGTTATTTTTTAAAAAATAATTACTATTAAAGAAGTAAACTGCAAGGAATTTAAACATAAGATAAAAACTTCTTTACTTAGAGGATGATCAGATACCGGTATAGGTTTCCTAGACAGGTTCTCTGTTCTGGAGATATTCAAAACCCAACTGGATGTGGTCCTGGGCAGCCTGCTCTAGTTGACTTTGCTTTGAGCAGAGGAATCAGACTAGGGACCTCCAGGTTTTAATAGTTCTGTACTGTGGTGAAAGAGCCTGACTTCTGTATCTGGAGATGATTTTGCAGTGATGTTGGATATTTAGGATGAAAATCTCGGTGTAGTCTGCATATGTGCATTAAAGGAACTTATTACCCTACAGTTCTTCAGATTATGACCTTTTATTAATAAAGTCAAATCAAGAAAGCCCGTTAAATTTTGTGTATTTATATTTTGAGATCTATGTGAGTTTTTTAACCTCATTTCACACTTCAGTTCTGAGGAGAATAAATATCTCATCAGTATTCTTTATAAAGATTATAGAATTTATTAGAAATTTCAGATATGTGTTTCCAAACATTGTGTTCTAGTTGTTTTCAATTTCCTTTTTCTTATTCAACAGCTTGATTATATAGCTAATATACTACCTTATTATCTTCCACAGATCTGAAGAGGGAAGCCAGTATTTGTCACATGCTGAAGCATCCTCATATTGTTGAGCTATTGGAGACATACAGCTCAGATGGAATGCTTTATATGGTCTTTGAGTTGTAAGTTTCTCTCTTTGATTTTACCTTTTTTTTGTTGTCATTTGCTGAATAAAATCCTAAATGTATGTCTGCTTCTACCTGCTTGTTTTTGTAGCTCTGAAGTCTTGAGTGCTATGAAAATATTTATTTCTAGCAAATACAGGTTGTCCCAAATAAAAAAAGTTGTCACACTGGCTAAGTGGCTAACATCAGGCTGATCCTTTATTGCATGCTTTCATTGATGGCAGCTGTGTCCCTAATAGGCTATGTGAGAACAAGTTAAAAATCTGTTGATAGTCGTCATCTTTGGGTAACTGGTGGTATTCTATTCCAATTGCAGGTTTGTCTGTTTTTTTCCAGACTACTGTTTCTTTAGCACTGCTTTTCCTTTACTAGATAAGAAAGTAAAGCTTATTGGAGTATTTAAGTATTCTTGTAAGTCACTGTACCTGTTCACATTGTATGAAAAGAGGGATTTGTCTAAAAGATATGTTTTGGAAACTTGAATGTAAGAGTTTAGTTACCATTGGCATATAGAAGGGTGAACAGAACATGACTTTTCAGCAGTATACTGGTATTTTTAATCAAGAAGAAACAAAAGGGGGGGGGGCAGCCCCTACATCACCACATTCCTTCTTTGAGGGAAAATTATTAGTCCTTCTTGAGTTAGGTTTTTATCTAACTGGGAAGGACAAAAACAGACATGCAGACTACGAATTTGTGCGTCTTCCGTATTTGATCTTCCTTCTCTTCTCTGTCCCTACCAGCTCTTCTTTTTATATTCCCCATATATGCATTGCTAATTTGTCTGGGCATACGTGTTTATACCTCTTCAATTTCTCTGATCTTCCTGCATTACATTCTCTGATGCGTTTGTCCTGCTTGTGTTGAAGCAAGCCATATCATGCCAGTGTATTAAGTTGAAACGGCGTGTCCACTAGAGCCAAATATTTGACTTGAGATATGCACTTAAAAAATAATTCTCACATGTTAGCTTTACCATTGAGGTAGAGAAAAAGTTATGTGCTGACAGCAAAAAAATTATATAAAGCTGAAAATTGTTGCTTGAAAGTCTTCCACTTTTTTTTTTAGGTGAGTTTATAAAATTATGATTGTGTGAAATAATTGTTTTATGCTTTCTTTTCTGTAATTTTTGATTCAATACTGAATTTGGGGTTTTTATTTTGTAAATCCCAAAGCATGGACCAAGGGACTTTAATTATCCTATTATGAAATAATCATGTATACCTTGGGGAGACATACTGTGATAATTAACAAGATTTTGAAATGGAAAAAAGGGTTTGCTTCTATTTTTACCATGCCAGTAGCTCAGAAACATGAGACAAAAGAAGTAATTATTTTTTAATGACAAGCCTATTATCATTTAAGTTTGTATACATAAAATGTAAGTCTGAACAATTAGAATTACCACACAAATACTGTACCTGACATCAGGCCACATGAAAGAAGGAAATGTGAGGCTATATTATTTGAAGGATAATAGTTCTTTACCATCTCATATGTCCTTGTCTCCCTTGTACTCTACAAGACATCATTCTTTTGTTACAAACAGTGATAGGAAATGAAACAGTAGGAACACCTGTGCTGAAAGCATAGCAAGGAATGGAAGAGTTGTGGGCGCAATGTGTTGCGCTGAAGGGGATGCTTTGGTAAAGTGATTCGACAGAAGACCTATGCTTGCTGTGGAGTAAGACTGCATTGCCTGAGTTTGATTGGGTTAGTGGCATACTATATAATTGTGACCATAATAAGAAAGTTGTAGTTAGTAGAAAAGCATCTGTGTACTTGTAGGTAAATTATTTTCCTTCATACTGCTTTTGGTTCCTTATGCTATTATTGTAACCAACTTTAACTGCTTTGCAACTAAGTTCTATCTACAGTAATAAAATATATTTTATTAGGGTCTAGTTATTCTGAAATGACAGAAAAGGGGAAGACAACACAGATTTGCAGAGGGGGCATCAGCCCATCTGGTGATGGGCTATTTGTGGACTGGCAGGTGCTTTGCACGAAAATTAATTCAGGTCCTGCAATGCACAGAATAACCAAACCTAAAACTTTGTGCCATCAGTTGCACATAAATGATACATAGATCTACTACTGTTTCATAAGCTGTGAGCTACATGGAGCAGCTGCTAAAATGACCCTGAATATCTTGCCAAAGCTATTGTTACAAAAAAGTACAAGTTAAATCAGGAAATGCAGCATATCTGATAACAAGAGATTGTACCATTCAGGAAAAAATACAATCTGTGCCCAATTTTGAGACCTTTGTTGCAATAAACATTAAAAAAAATCAGGTCATAATTCATAGAAGCACTGATGAACATGAACAGTAGCAATGTAGTCTAACACCAAAAAATTAGCTATGTTTTTAACCACTATTTATACACAAATTCAAGCACTCTTTAGAATGGGACCATCATGTCGTGTTACCCGTAGGTTGTCATTAGGTTACTGCCGTAATAAACTGCCTAGAAGCAGTTGGCCGTGATAGATGAAGTGCTTGTGTAGAGTAAGAAACAGACCCTGTCCCAGAAAGTCTTATTCTTAAAGTAAAATTATTATTTTAAAAGTATTTAGATGTTACTACATCATAAATGAGAGACTATGTGCCTGTGCCAAATGATTTCCCCCTGCCACTCCCCAGAAGCAGCTTTCCACTGACGGAAGAGATCCCTTGGTGGCTCTAGAAGAGACCTTGCATCTGAGATAAGGCCAGCTCTAGTTTTTATCATACAGTCGCAATTTTCTTTCCCATTCTATGGTATTATTTGTCAACAGCTGAATATCAAGTGATCCATCATTAGTGTCAAGTTAACTGTGACCTTTTACCTAATACGAGCATGTAATCAATAGAAGTACATCAGACATACTTTACAGTGTCAAAACAAATGAAAGCAATCTTTTCTTTAAGTCTGTGCCTTACAGCGAACAAAATGTGCAAAACTCTCCTGCTATTTAAAAATTCCATTCATGAAATGGTGCAACCTGGTTTATTTCGTATTTGTTCAATAATGTGCTATACTGGACAGTTTTGTCCCTGTCACATGATGTTTGCTTGGTAGTTCATGCATGTGGGGGAGGAACACTGGTTTTATGGAGAATGCTGTTTTCTGCTTGGTATATAACTATCACTTTTGCTTTTATATTCCATTGCTTATTACATTTTTTTTCCTACTGACCATTGGTCTTTATTGAATGAGAATACTTTGAGAAGGGTCAGCTACTTCCAATATTTCTAAAAGAAAGCAATTATTCCACTTGAAGTGTCTGAAAACCACGTTTTAGACTTAGACTACATTATATGCAGTTTATCCTCAGTACGATCAAAGTCCGTGGACTGAGAGTAGTTACCTTTCATGCTGAAGAGCTCAGGCACATGAGTAGTCAGCGAATTGCAGATAACTTAATATCTGGTCATTTGCAGAATATTGTCTCACCACTATACATAGGTGGTTTTGCTTTTCTTAGTGCATTCTAAGAGAGATTTATCTATTGGGACATTAGAAGAACTGATCTTACTTGCATTTACCAGGATGTATATATACTAGTTATATACATGTAACTTTGCTGTTCAACCTAGCTAACATGTAAAAATGCTTTCATTTTAAAATCTCAGATTCATAAAAGCAGTACTTTAAAATGATTGCAGTCAGGTTTACATTAAGTGTAAGCTGATGAGCATTTAAATGATGGTACATTCAATTATGCAGCTTTGTTGAACTGTTAAGGAATAAAAGACGGGGGGGAAATGAATGCTATCTATTCACTTTGTTACAATACTGTGAAATAGCACAGCTTCTTAGTTTATGGAGTGAAAATTTTTTTCATTATTTTACATAATCATGTGTTGTGGTTTAACCCCAGCTGGCAGCGAAGCCCCACACAGGCACTTTCTCACTCCCCTCCCCGCTGGTGGGATGGGGGAGAGAATCGAAAGAGTAAAAGTGAGAGAACTCATGGGTTGAGATACAGACAGTTTAATAGGTAAAGCAAAAGCCGTGCGCGCCAGCAAAGCAAAGCAAAGCAAGGAATTCATTCCCCACTTCCCATGGGCAGGCAGGTGTTCAGCCATCCCCAGGAACGCAGGGCTCCATCACACCTAACGGGGACTTGGGAAGACAAACGCCATCACTCTGAATATCCCCCCTGCCCACTTCTTATGCTGAGCATGACATCATATGGTATGGAATATCTCTTGGGTCAGTTGGGGTCAGCTGTCCCGGCTGTGTCCCCTCCCAACTCCTTGTGCACCCCCAGCCTCTCGCTGGTGGGGTGGGGTGAGAGGCAGCAAAGGCCTTGGCTCTGTGTGAGCACTGCTCAGGGATAAAAAAAAACATCCCTGTGCTACCAACACTGTTCTCTGCACAAATCCAACACGTATCCCTGTACCAGCTACTGTGAAGAACATTAACTCTATCCCAGCCAAAACCAGCAGATCATGTTAGGATTCCAGTTATGGTTTTATTTTTAAATGCAGTCTTACCTGTAGTCCATCTTTTTTTTTTTTTTCACTTTACTGTACTTCTTTCGTACTTGCGTAATGGATTATTTCAGATAAAAATAAGACTTAAATATTAACTTTTAAATGTAAAATCAAAAGAAAGTAAAATCTCTATTTTTCACACCAAAACAGGTTGTTGTCGTTCCTGAAAGAAAATAGTTTCAGATACTTCTAGGTCTAACGTTTGCGCCAGACTTTGAAAAATATCCAGCAAAAGGAAAATCTTTCAAACTAATTTTGAAAAGCTTGCAATACACTTAGAGATGTCATTAGATTAGTCTTAGAAATCAGGATTTTTATCTTGGATGAAATTTTGCTCTTTTATAATAAGTAGCAAAGTTTGGCAGAAGAATTGAGAATTCACATCATTGAGACATTGATGAATTGGCATTTCGGCATTTATTATGTCTTAATTATCAACGGCCAGTAAGTTGCATTATTTTAGCAAAGCTTCAGAAGACCCACTTTTAAGCAAAATTAACTGGTAGAAGTCAATATAAAATGTAAATGCATATACTTGTATTCTCAACATGAACTAATTCACACAACATTGCTATAAAGGGAGTATTTTTGTATTGTCTCATGATACTGGCTGACATATGGAGATTTTAACGTTGAACTGGAGTATGGATTAAAGGTTTCAGGTCAGGTACAGTACTACTTTCGTATTACCACTAAACCCAGTGCTTTTTAAGGATGCATATGTTCTTTCTTTTGTGCTATTTAATAATCAGGTTGGACCATCATAAAAAAACACTAGTAGAAAATTGTTTCCGAGCATACCTATTTAGAATTACTTACTACTCCTAAGATCATATACTACTCTCTAAGATCTCCATACAGCAGCCTTCCAGTACCTAAGGGGGCCCGCAGGAAGGCTGGAGAGGGACTGTTTACAAGGGCAAGTAGTGACAGGACAAGGGGTAATGGCCTTAAGCTGAAGGAAGGTCTATTTAGATTAGATGTTAGAAAGAAATTCTTCACTGTGAGGGTGGTGAGGCACTGGAACAGGTTGCCCAGAGAGGTTGTGGATGCCCCATCCCTGGAAGTGTTCAAGGCCAGGTTGGATGAGGCTTTGGGCAACCTGGTCTAGTGGAGGGTGTCCCTGCCCATGGCAGGGGGTTGGAACTAGATGGGCTTTGAGGTCCCTTCCAACCCAAACCATTCTATGATCCTATGATCATCTTCTATGCTGTGATTTAGGAATTATTATTCAGTGACGTTTCAGTTGTTTGTGACTAAATGTAATGAGTCAGTTTATGAAAAGCACTGAAATTCATCTCTTAGCTGCCAGCAAAGTTGTAAAGATGTCTCAATCTAAAGTACAGAAAACAGATGCTGAGAAGGTAAACCCAGGAACATTAATTATCTGGAATGAGCTAAACCCTGGATGCATGGGTAATATATAGGAAATAAGTTTCTCTACTTTTTGGTCTTAGTTTTCAGAGGTATAATGTAGGGCTTCAAGAAAAGTTAAATACTATGTTTTTCAGGTTGATTTATGGCAGTTTTTTTGTTGTAAGTGAAGATGGCAAGTACGTAAAAACTGTCCAACTGAAGGAACACATGCCATTGTGCACACACCTTTAATATACATGGTACAAACTCAATAAACTCAGTTGCAAGCAATATGCCAAGTCTTTCTTTTTTTTTTTTTTTTTTTGTTTTTAAGTAATAATTCAATTCCCTAAAGCTGTGCTTCTCAAACTTTCTGATGTTGTAGGCCATGTCTTATTAAGTCACCTGAACATTCAAAACTATCATACCCCAGTATTAAAATGTAGATCTCTTCTGGAATATAGTGTCTATTCTTCAGAGTGATTATTAGCCTCACAACAGATTTCTGCATTGAATATGACTCAGGAGTAAACTTTCTGGGCGGGTCACAACTTATCATCACCTTTGTGCAGAATACTAGAAAGATTTTCAAGGTGCACAGTAGCACTGATCGGAGCTATGGAGAGAAACATTTATCCAAAGGGCTGAGATCCAGGCACAGTTCTGCTAAAAATATGGAAGAAATCAGTAGTGGAATATGGGAAATTAGAGGAACATAATTGATACCCCAAACGATTCAGATGTGGTGGTGATGCCTGTTAACTCCCTGCTCAGACTTGCTTTAGCTGGCACTTTCAGGGTAAATACCATAAACTGTCCAAGTCAGTTTATGTAGCTTCCCTGAGTGCCCTCTACTGGTATCAGATGACTCTCTCCCAAATTATGAGTGTGCTGTAATTTTAACAACTTTTTCAGCATCTTCCACATATGTCTTCAGCATGTATATGTCTCTGTGTCGTTATTTTACTGGATTTTAACTTATCTTAAATTTTTTTTGTTTTTTACAGTTTCCACATGCCTAATGCTGATAGTCCTTACAAAATCTTGAGACTTCCTGAGCTTTGATTTCACCAATATCTCAAAACTTGAATGCTCTTGCATCACATAAGCCTTTCAGTTTCTGCAAAGTCATCTTTTAAGTGTTTGTGATATTGCTGAGTTTTTAGGCTGTTAGTGCACTGAATTCTCTGGGGTTTCTTATAACTGAGGCTGACTCTTTTTTTTTACAGTCTCAGCTAGATACAAATCTCATAGGGTTTTCACATAAAATCCAACATCATTGGGGTGATACAAGTCCCACTTATACATGAAAAAAAAATCTGCTTTTAAAATAAGATTTTGTCTTGAAAAAGTAGTCAGTTGAAGTCAGAGATTAAAATACACCTGTCGTATATTTGTGCTTTTGATATCAACAGAGTTCATCTTAATGGAATAAAATGTTCAAACATTACTGCTCACAGCCCATAGCCATTTTTAATATCAACATAACTTAAACTAATGGAAAATATTTATAGAAAAAAATTCAAACTGCCACTTACTGTTACAAAATTTAAATGAAAAATGCTGGTATATATAAGAGAGAGGTAGATATTTAGGTTAAAGACCATTCTGATTACAAACACCTTGTTTAATTGAAAAGTTAGTGTAAAGGGATGACACTCGTGGCTCAGTGTCTCAGCAACTATTGATATTGCTGAAAAATTTGAATGCCTCTGGATCTTTATTCATCTGTACTTTATAACAAAGTCAGAGTGAAATTAGTCTTCTAAAGGGTTCTACTGCTTCATGAGAATGACAGCTCCAGATTTTTGGTAGTTAATCATGCATTTTGTATGTTCTGCAGTGCTTGGTGTTGCTCAGGTTTCAATTTTGTTTCCAATCTAGCTGAAGTAAATTGTTGGAAGGAAGCACTGAAAGGGAGATTGACATGAGGGGGTTTTTCTAGTGAGCTGGCTAAATCCAGATTTATGCTGTTCGCATTGAACCTGACCCTGTTGCTGCTATACAGCACTACGTATAGGACAGCACAGTATATTCTCTGTCTGAGTGATATTTAGCTATGTATACAGACTAGCTGTGTGAAATGGAGCAAGACAGAAAAACTACTGGGAAAAAAATCTAGAGGAAAATATCGATGCAGTGATGAGCAGTCATGGTTTGGTAATATGGGTTTCTGATTTGTGGGGCTTGTTAAACCTGAAGATGGTACCAGGTGCTGAAATAATTGGCCAGGATATTTTTTTTCTCCTCCTTAAATGAATGTGCATTTCTTTTGGTCACCAGTCTCTCTTACAGTTGTTAGTGCTCAATCCACATAATAGTATCTTTTGCATGGGGATACTCTTTTTATTTATTTGGGAATTAAAGCTTCTGCACATTGCTTGTGACTCCATAAGCAGAAGTTTTGCATTGCAGGTGTGTAACAAAGCAAAAGTGATTGTATGCTAACATTCTGGATAGCTTACCAAAGTGGCCCTGATAATGTGGGCTTTCTAGATACCTTGGAAATTCTGCTTTACCCCGCCTTGAATCTTTGGTGGAGAGGAAAAAGAAAAGGTGTGAAGGCTGAAAATGACATGTTACAATCAATATTTTTTGCAAGTGCCTTGTTAAGCATGAAGTATAATATGTCATTTATTGTTCCTGTTAACTCTTGTTACTCTCTCTTTGCCCCACCAAGCAATGAATATTTTTAGATCTAAATCTGCCTTAGGTTACTTACAGGAGAAAGAAAAGGACGGCAGTTATGCCACACCAAGCTGCTTTGATTTTAGAGAAATGATAGTCTAACTTTACCCTAAGGACTATTGATATTCGTGCGTCTAAAAGTGTTATACTACTTATTGTGGGAAGTTAGGTTGTCAGAAAGACTACAGACAATTAGGAAGAAAAGAAACAAAGTATCATGTATCAGAGCTAGTGATACCTGTAGCAAGTCATATTCTATTAGATTACCTATTAAATGCTGTTTTAGTTAGTAATGCATTGTACGTGTATCCAGAGTATTTTATGTAAGATTTATATAAGTGGAGTAAATAGATTTTTTGGATCATTTTTATGTAATTGAGTGTAGTTATCTGTCTTAAACATTTTTTCCTCTTTTTACCTGCAGTATGGATGGAGCAGATCTGTGTTTTGAAATTGTGAAGAGAGCAGATGCTGGATTTGTGTACAGCGAGGCTGTAGCCAGGTATGTATTATAATTTTAATTAATCCCACAGGATAAATGTAAAAGAACAGAATATACTATTGTAGAATCGGGTAACTAGAAGTTGGAATAGTATAAATAATGGTGCTTCCACAGTCTGAATGTTTATTACAATAAATAGCATAATAAAAGTAGAATTTTGGAGCATTTTGTCTTTTACTAGTTGCATATTTGGATGGGATTATTGAATATAATAGTATTTCACATTCAATACTTAATTCTCTGTCTTTGCCTTTTATGGATCTCTGATACAATGACATTAGGTGACTTGCCTGACAGGTGTGAGTTTTATTGGTCTTGCTAGATGGAGTCGTCTTTTTTCTTTTTTTTTTCTTTTTTATATATCACTTTATTTATGGTCACTTCAACGTTTCACGAGGTAAACTAAAATTAAAGAGTCTATGTAATTGTAGAAGGTCAACAAAACCCAATGTCCTAGTGGCATGGTAATTGAGCTGAAAGCCCATGAGATTCTTTGTTTGCTTTTTTCGTCATTGTAAATTTTTAGCGTCATAAACGCCAGTTTGGAAGAGACATCAAGAGGTCTCTATTTCAACCTTCTGCTCAAAGCATTGCATTTAGATCATGTTCCTCAAGGCTTTGTCCAGTGGGGCCTAGAAAACCTCCAAGGATGGAGATTCCACAGCCTCCCTGGGCAGCTTGATCCAGTGCATAATCGTGTTCCTAGGGAAAAATGTTTCCCTATAACAAGCTGGAACCTGCAGAGGACAAGGGTTGCCTCCCTTAGCCCACTAGTAATACTCTGCCTGATGCAGCACAGGGAGCTGTTGGCTTTCTTGGCTTTCTAGCATGGTCAGTAATCTGTTAGGGCATCCTTTGGACATGGGAGAAAGAAGTTAGTCTTTAATCTACATCAAGCAAGCCAAGATCTTGGTTCTATCCCTTTCTAGATAAATCAGGCACTGACACCTTGTTCCGTTCTGTGTTTTGTTATTAAAAAAATGAAGGATCCTGACTTCTTTGTCATATGAAGCAGAATTGTTGGACATTTGAAACCTTTACAAAATGGAAAATGGAGATTTTTCTTTTCTAATTTCCTTGGCTTCAGTCAGAATAATCCTCAAACTTTAGATTTTGTTATTCATACACAAACTCCATTCTACTGAATTCTGTATATTTAAGGTTAAGTTGGTTGATTAGTTTTATATAGTTAGACTCTTAAAACTTTATATGTGTGTAGTAATTTTTCCTGCAGGTTTGTCATGTATGATGTCTTTGTTTTTTCAGTCATTACATGAGACAGATATTGGAAGCTCTACGTTACTGTCATGATAATAATATAATTCACAGGGATGTGAAGGTAAGGGGCTTTAATTCTTTTTTTTCTTCACCACAATAATACAAACTACTGAATTTCGATTTCTGTTTTTTAGAGGAAGGGGGAAGCTATAGAAAAGGAAGCTATATTTGCTGAATGTGTGTTTATGCTTACTGTGTCATGTAAGATGAAAGCCAATCTCCAGTTCCATCAATATAGAACATTTAGGAGGTCTTTATTCACAGATTACATATGCATTTGATTGCAACTTTGAAAGTCAGTATAATTTCTAGTTTTTGAATATTCATATGAAATCTGCTTGCTTTTTTTTCTTGTTAGGAAAATGTGTGTATAAATTAATTGCATAAATTAAGCTGGAATTGGTAGATTAATGGCATCATTTTGACAGCATAATGACAGTCTTCATCCAAACCAAGATTTTGGGGAGAAGTGCATGGTTAAATGCTATAATATTGGTAGCATTATCTACTTTTTGCAAGCAGTCTTAAACATTTATTATGATGAAAACGTCTCTAATACAAACAAGTTTGGGAGGAGAAATACCGTGTTTAAGAACAGCTTATGTACATACTCTTTTTGATCTGGTGAATTTTGTACTATTTCCATGGATATTTATGGAACCAGTTTATCTAATAGTTCTGTAGTGTAAATAATTGGGAGTTTTAACCTTAAGTGGGTTTGACTCTCTTCAATTTGAATATATATATATATTCTTAGTTAATGTCTTTGTCTAAGGTAGTTATTCCCACTTGTCTTCTCTAAGAGTTTGCTTTCATCCAATGTGGGTCAAGCACTACGGGAATTAATGAGAATTCTAATGAGCTCTGATGGTACAGTTTGAGAAGTGAGTATTGGGGTTTAGTGAATAGAGAAGATTGAGAGAGGGTGAGCTGTGCGTCAGCCTCCTGCGAGTGATCTGTGAGGGGAGAGAAAACACACGGTGAACTGATGATTTTCATTTATGAAGTCATTTGGTCTTGCATACGCATGCTTGCAGACCTTTCCCAACCTCTTTTTCCTTTCCTTCTAAAACCAAGATAATTATTTCATGCAATAGGTGGATTTTTTTTAAGTTTGGTATTTTAAAAGTCATTTCTTACAGCAAATTCTAAAGATGGCCTCTTAATTACTGGTAGAATGCCTCGTATTGTTGTGTCTTGAAGGTTCTAGGTTCTTTTAATTGTTTATTCTTAGTAACACACAAGAATTGCAGGATTAACATCATCTCTATGCTGCTGTTTCTTCCTGAAAGCTGTATCTGGTTTTGTTGGACCATGTTCTTAAGCAAAAACAAATTTTAGTTTCAAGGGCCTCTGAGGGAGGCCCATTTTACTGAGTGTCCAATGAGAGTTTATTTTGCAGCTTATTCAGACTCTGAAAACTTTAAAATCACTGTTTTTATTAAATACTATCCTTAGAAATAAACCTGTTCAATTACATGAGTGAGGAAGAATTTTTAATGTATCAGTCTAAAGTAGCGTATGCCAACAGATATTTCGTTTTGGGAAAAGCAGTGCAGAAATATAACTATAGGGTTTGGGTGTAGACCATATTAAGCTAACGGCAATATCCCAGCTCTAGATGTCACTGTAGACATTGTTTTGAAAGGAAGTAGACTAAATGACCAATTTCCAAATTATCTGAATGGGTGAAAGTGAATTAATAAAAATCTGTGAAGTTGATATACTACTTTTTTTCACTGTTAAGCTTTCTGTGAATGTTATTTTGAACTGCAAAATGTTTGATCATTATCTGAATCCCAGGAAAATTTGCACCTTATAGTCCCTGTAAAATTAGGTGTCTTTTAGCCACTTTTGTACTCCCTTAACTCTCGATTGATTAAGAAAAGTTAGACGGGAATACTTCAATTTACTGTATTCTGGTGCCAGAAACTTCACCTGACTTTTGTAAATAACCAGTTGTACCAAAGCTTCTGGAGCCTTATGACTGCAGCCTATGATAAACTCGCGTATGCCCCAGATTCACCTCCGATGACAGAATCAAAACATGAAAATTTTCACAAGATGACTTGTAGTTGTCTTAATTCCCTTCACTGCTCTGTGAGACCAGATGTTTCTAAAACCTCTGTACATCACTTGACCCCGTTCAACATTGCTTAAAGGCTTTATAGTCAGTGACGATTGCACCTTTGCTCCACCTTCAGTTAATGCGATCCTGCTTTCATTCACTGCTTGGAAGTTGGATTCTATGATAAGAAAAGTAGAAAATGCTGATGCGGGAAGGCAGAAAACTCAAGACAGCTATGCATCAGAAATGTGAATGTCAAGAACTTTTTCCCTTACCACGTATATTCCTATTTTGCCAACCTAGTGATATAGAACTCAGCCGTTCCTTTTTTTATTTCAGAACCTTACTGCGTCAGAAAGACCCAAAAGATGGCTACCGAAAGTAGCAACATTGAAATGGGGTCTTTTCCAATATAAGATGTTATTACACAGTAGTTCATATACAGAATTATCTTTAAGAGAACAAAAAAAAGGAAATGGGAGTCATGTGGGTCTGAAATGAGATGCTTGTCTTTTTCCATAAAACGCTTGCTAGAGTTTGAGTACCATTTGTCACTGAAGTCAGCCATTTTCTCTTCAGCTGTCAGTATTAGACCATAATGAAAGTATTTCGTTAATATAGTCATTAAAAAGAAATGAATGGGAGAGGACCTTTAAAACGGGACAAAGGAATAGGAGAAAAATTACTTGTGTCTTTCTTCAAAATCTCCACTTCACTATATTCTCTCCTGCAAAATAATGTTTTCTCTTACTTCACCCTCAGGAGTAAGAAAGTAACAAATTGGGTTAACTCTACATTAAAATGGTTCTTCTCTTAACATAAATACCACTGAAGATAGTTCCATATATGCCTCAAGATTTAATGGAGCTAAAAACAAGTAACCAAAATGTCCTCTGTAGCTGTAATCTTTCTTCAAGAAAGGGAAAAATTAATAGTATGCCTCTGCAACTCTTAACTGCGAAGAATACCACTGACCATTGAACTTCCTTTAGTTCTGTGCTATACAATTATTTTAATAATTATGATTTTAAAAGCTGAAAGTGGTAGGTTTGTTATAAATAGGTAAACTTGAATATTTCCGATCCCTGTGGCAGTTAATGTGTTGTAGAGTACCTAAAGCAGCATCATGCATTTAGCACAGTCACATTTGGTCAGCATTCAGTATTTTAAGTTGTTATATTCTCGGCATGTAGGAAAAGTTGTTTTCTCTTGTCTTGACATTTTCACTGTTAATAAGAGGATAGGCTGATGTTGGTAGAAGACTTTTGTGCTAGTTACTGGAAGTATAATGTGATTCAGCTCAAGAAATAGGCTGTTTAAACATTGTGTAAGTTATGAAGCAGGACAGTGCTCTGCAAAAAGTGCATTTCTTCGGTATTTATTGCAGATTTTTTCACCTGTTCATTTTTGCAGTAACTTCAACAAATGTTTCCTCTTCCCCCCTCCCCACCCCATTTATGTCCCCTCCTGTGTATATGCTTCCTATCTCAGAGTCCCCATTTCTTGTTTCATCCTGCCCTTTTCCTAGTGTACTGTTAGCTGGCTGCTGGATATTTAGAAGCGGTATTTGCCGAGTAGTATATTTATGCTGATTGGCCTACTTAGAGCTCAACATCTATGTGCTTTCTGATCAGGAAGTTTATATATTCCAGTCATTTGCCCAGCCAGTGCGAAAACGTGTTTTCTGATCGATGAGCTGGCCACTCATGCAGCACATTTGAACAGGTTAACCAGAAAGTAGGCAGGCGCTTACAGTCTTTTAAACTGCTTTGCAAACCATGTGCTGTGGCTACTTGCCTTAGGATTTTGTGTTCCCTGCTATGGAAATGAATTATTTTATTTTTTATTATACAATTCACAAGTCACCTGCTAACTTCTGATTTGGCACCGGGATGTCTAAGCATTGCAAGACGTTTAGCACAAGCTGTGTTTTGCTGAAGTATTTCTCTGTCTCCTCTCCCTCATGTCTTTCAGGGGATTTTTCCTCCATGAACTATTCTGTCAAATGCTAGACTGATGTATTACTCAATGTGTAGTGTCTTAAATTGCCTGTACTGCACAAAAGCTTTTCCACTATTTAAAGCAAGAAAAGGTTTGATGCAATTCAGAAATTTAAAGGAGACATCATCTTGAACAGACTACATAGGAAAAAAAGCAAAGTCTGCATAATTTTTTGGTACCATGTAGAACTAGTGAAATGGGATCTTGCTACGGGTCTATCACAAAGTTATATTTGATTAGTAGTTTCCAAAGTTTCATCTGTTTTCTTGTCTTTTTGATAAATGCAGCGCTGGGGAACAAATGGTTGTGACTAGGAAAGTGGACAAAGAATGACTTAAGCCTAGACTACCATCAAAAACTCTGTATTAAGAAAAACATCCACAGGCAGGCACTCTGCTGAGATACTCCAAAAGCATTCCCTATAAAATGTATTTAAGGAAGGATAGAAGTAGTGGGGTTCTTAGTCTGGGCCGCTGCAAATTATAAGAACACATTGGTAGTAAACAGCTTTGCTCACCCAGACTTACAGCTATTGATCTAAAACCAGCCATTGAATCAGCGCTGTGCCATCTGGGGGACTTGAACTGCTCGATTCAGTCCTGTTGTAGGTACTTGGCCACCGGTTATGTCGCGCAGTCAAACACCCACCCGCACAAACTGGCTTCCCATGCTCAAGGACTGTGTTTGCAGAGCAACTTTCCTACAGCGCTTTGTAGAATTAGACCCTGAAGCTGCCCGCTTCAGGTTTTTCCATAAGTAGTATGCTAAATGTCACATGGGAATCCTGTGAAAGAAGCAATCACTAAATTCCATTATCACAGGTAACATTGTGTTAAATAAAATACTACATTCCTATGATTTTCTGTCTTTTTCACTTGCATCTTTATTTAACTTCTGCAGAACACAAAGCAGCTGTCAGATGATAGGAAGTCTTGGGGTCCCTCCTAGTGAAGACCTAGTATTTTGTGTCTACTGGCACTTGGGTCAGTTTA